ACTCATTATGCTCTCAAACATTCAAAACACACGATTCAGACCCGTTAAGGTTCAACTAGAAGAAGTGTTTTCTCTGTACTATCACATAAATTTGTAGCAAATTCTCAGTTGAAAGGACTTTTATTACATGGTAAATCGTTTCTTCATTAAAGGGGGTAAGTTTCTAAAGAAATTGTGGTGCTGCGTCGGTGGGGGAGTATGTCAAGGTAATTTTTGGTTTGATCAACTGAGTTAATAATGTAATGCAGTAAATGGTTTGAACCCGGGGGTAACATGTGAAGGTGTAGTCTGATCGTCCGGGTGAGTGTAGTCCTGAGAAGGACTGTTGTCGGTGGCAGTGACTGACGTTTCGACAACCTGTGCGGAAGTCATCATCAGAGTCAAGTGAGTGATTGTTGTCAGTAGAATGTTCTTATTCCAGTTCGTGTGAAATGATCGGTTGGTTTTGCCGTGATGTTATTGGCTGTAAGACTCAAGTGACGTAAGTCGTTCGTGATTGGTCTGTTTCGGTCTGTCGGTAAAGCTAGGTTGTTCTTTTTCGGTCGTTTGTGATGTTTATGTCGTGAATGAGTCGTTTGTATGGGGCGGGTAGTTGTTGACATCTGTTTAGGGGAGTCTGTTCTAAGTTAGTAAACCAGCTTTCCAGAGTCAGTCGTTGAAAATAGTCAGTGCTGTAGGTTAGGCATTGCGCAGAGTCCCAGTCAATGTTGTGGTTGGTAAGTCGATAGGAGGGAGGGGTGAGGGGGGCGAAGAGAATGTTACGTGAGACTTAAAGTTCTTTACCGGTTTATCCGCATTCCAAAGGTGGCTCAAAACAGTTTCGGTTAACAATAAAACTGAAAGATCTGCAATTGACTTTAATATTTCTTATCATAAAGCCTTACTAGAGAATCAACACATCAAGCAACTCTTTGCGTTAGTTGTATACTGTGGTTACATGTTGTTCTGACCTAAGAAATCGAACTATAACTTAGCTTAATATTTAGCCAATGAGAAGGCCTTTAGAACGTATTCTCCTCCCTACAGCTTAGAAGCTGAGCTATTTCGATTCCTATCCAGACGGTGTGCGCACTCTGATTGCGTTGCATCATGGTCGTAAGAAAAAGTTGAGTCATTTGCATCTTGACGCGAACGAGTGAACTTCTTTGACGGCAGCGAGATAGCGTGAATATACGTGGATTGCAATGGAGTTTCACTGTCTGTTACCGTTCCTTCGAAAATTAAAACGTTTGACGGGCCGGCACGACTCCTGTCCTTCTCCGTGACGAATTTGTTCTTAGGAGGCAACTGACGTTATTTAGAAAGATTCGAAACTGCAATCTGCCTAAGAATCTGGACACAAATGGTAACAGTTACACTCACAACCGATGAACAAATTTGTCGCGCTCCACATTCAGTATAAACGTACAGAGTTCCAAAATACTCTTCGAGAATAGAGGTAACCTATATGAGGGTTTTGAGAAATGTATCTCAAGAGTTATTACTTCAGGAGAAAAGCAGGCAGTGTGCGCACTCTGATTGCATTGCATTGTGGTAGCGTTATTTTCAATTTGGCGGTAAAAGCGGCAGAAATCGGCAGACTTTAGCCGTACATTCCGTAAATGTAAGGCCTTATCTTTTTCCTTTCACTATAGGTAAATATAATTTGATAAATTATAAATGTGTAGAAGTATTTTTCGTGAGTATTTGTTGGGTATTCTATCGTTCTCAGGGACAAACGCAAGCACTGTTTTTTAGCATGTAATTTGAGACCGGTTTTCGAGAAGGTCAAATTCGTTGTACGTCGTAGTTTGAAGCCTTTCAAAGATTTCTATGGCCGCATTGATCCTTCTTCAACAGCTCTGACCAAACGCGCTCAAATGCACTCCAATGGTACAACTGTTTTATCCATTTTAAGTGATAGTGTTTAAGACTCTTAAATGGAGCGAAAAGGCCCATTTTTGCGTTTAGTGTGTTGCGTTACATAGCGTCACTACTGCAAAGACATTTATTATTGGTACTTAATCGTGTTGTAAATCTACTTTCCTCAGTGAAGGAAAACTAACTAATCGCGAGTGTTGTGTGGTAAATCTGCCATCTTGATCATTGAGTGAAGGACAGTTTAATTAGAGCAATGAAAAGAGTCACTTGATCCATGAAAACCCGCTACCTTGCGTGAGAAAACACCCTGGAAAGCCGGAAAGCCAGCAAAGCCGGAAAGCCGGACAGCAAAAGGCAGTCGACCGTTGAAAGGTGTTGATAGCCCTGTGCGTCTCCTGCAATTCGCTAGCGCTTTTAAATCTTCCACCCTCAGAATTTAGCTCTTATTAGGATATGTCTTGATGACTTTCCTTTACGATGTGAGGATAAGTGTCAGTTTTGAGGTGTAATTTCTCGATCTGTATGTTCTTGAGGTTTAGCAAAGCCGGATGGGATTGCGTTACAAAAGGCAATTATTTTCTTCTGTGCGCGCGCTACTTTTTTGTTTTAAAATATATTTCTCTCCTGCAGAAATAACTGCAGAGATTTTCTCAAAACGTTTCTCAAAACCCTCATCTAGGTTTCCTCTTTTCTCGAAGGGTATTTTGAAACTCTGTACGTCGTTACTAAATGTGAAGCGAGACATATTCGTTCTGAGGAAGCGTGGGGCTTCTCCTTTTACGAATCCCGTATTTACGCTCGGTGGAAAAAGTCCGTCTAGTGCAAGGTCTCTGTCTCTTTAATATGCGTTTGCATGTCAAGGGTAAATTCCCTGTTAAATAAGTCGCATCAAGGAATATAAATTCTGACTTTGAAATTATTCATCCCGCCATCGGTTGTGAGTGAAACTGTTGTCATTTGTGTCGAGATTCTAGTTTCGAATTTTTCTTAATAACGTCAGTTACCTCCTAAGAACTAATTCGTCACGGAGGAATGATGGGAGTTGAGCAGGCCCGTCAAACTTTTTAACGTTCGAAGGAACGGCAACAGACAGTGAATCCCCATTACAATCCACATATATCCACGCTATCTCGCTGCCACCAAAGGAGTTCACTCCGACGCGCCTAGTTGCAAATAACTCAATTTTAGTTTTACGACCATGATGCAACGCAGTCAGAGTGCGCACACCGCCAAGGAGAGAAGTACACTCTGAAACAAAGAAAACAGCGCGCGCACCGAAGAAAATATCGCCTTTTTTAACAGAATCTCATCCGGCTTTGCCAAACCTCAAGAACATACTGACGGGGAAATGACATCTCAAAACTGACCCTTATTATCACATCGCAAAGGAAAGTAATCAAGAGTTATCCTAATAAGATGAGCTAAAACTTTGAGGGTAGAAGATTTAAAAGCGTTAGCGAATGGTAGGAGACGTACAGGCCTATCAACACCTTTCAACGGTCGACTGCTTTTTGCTTTAGAGGTTTTAATGGATCAAGTGATTCTTTTCATTGCTCTAATTAAACTGTCCTTCATTCAATGATCAAGATAGAAGATTTACTACACAACACTCGCGATTAGTTAAGTTTCCTTCACTTAGGAAAGTAGATTTACAACACGATTGATAAATGTCCTAGTGGTAACGCTATGTAACGCAACACACTAACCAACAATGGGCCTTTTCGCTCCACAAAAGGAACTCGAACACCATCACTTAAAATGTATAAAACATTTGTACTGTTGGAGTACGTTTGAACGCGTTTTGTCGGGGCTGTGAAAGAAGGATCAAAAGTGGCCATACAAATTTTTGAAAGGCTTCAAACTTCATCGCCTGTTCCCTATCGGTGTTACGGATTCACAATGAGCTAAGTTAATCAGTCACAAATGAATGCCGCGCTCTCAACGAGGAATTTTTTTCAGCCTGCCATCGTGGCGAAAAACAAAAGAAAATGGGAAGTTCGGGCCGTCAAGTTATTGCTGGTTTAGCTCCAATCAATACGCAGTAATAATCCCCTTAACCGGCAAACACCGTAAGCGGTTTAGAATTCTCCCCGCTTGTGTACCGCGCGCACAAAAACGTGTTACTCTGTCTTTTGTGACTAGCTGTGGATCTAGCAGAGCTTCCTCATGAAATGTAAGATTTTTGACTTCCCCGTGGGATTCTCGAGCCACTTCTAGTCGATAACTGTCGAGATCAACGGCAACGATTCTTCCACCTTGTTCTACGAGCTCGATTAAAAAAGCGGACAATTCATCAATACCGCAGCTGAGCCCACTGCAAGATAACTTCTTCGTGATGTACTTTTACATTATCATAAATCGTATTTTTTTCCATTCCCTCTTTGAAAAAGCCAGATCTGCCGGTAATCGTTAGCCACATGTTTCAGTGGAGTTGGACGTAATCAATATTTGTATTCAAGCTTCGAGGTCTGATTCCTGTCACGTCACCAGTAGTATCAGTTGGAGATTCCCAGAGTGAACATGTGAAAGGGAATAGACGGGTCGTACTCTACAGAAATTGTGGACAAAGACCGCTGAATAGCCACCTGAGTCATCTTTAAAGTAACAGTTATACATATAGGAAACATTAGGAACCCACATATTTGCATACTGACCCTGTGTTTGAATTGGCGGTTCGCTTGAACAAGCATCAAACAACATAATTAGTTTGATTTTCAAGTTTAAGACAAGGGCCACGATTTAAAACTTTCTGAGGCCCACATAACGCATTTTAATATTCTTCTGAGTTGAGATCTTGAATGCCGTATATTATTGAGATAATTTTTACAGACAACCGTAATCACCTTGAATTCGGGTTATGAAAATCAAGTCCATTTTGAACTGACACGTATCCAAGCCCAAACGAATAATAATAAAGCTACCATTCTGGTGTTTTTTTTTATTTTTTTATTTTTTTTTTTTTATTGGAGAAAGTGGGTAGGAGAGGGTGTTACCGGAAACTTGGAGTTCTCCACTAGTTTATCATTTCAAAGGTGGCTTAAATTAGTTTCGGTGACCATAAAAACTTTAAAAATTCGCAAATGACTATAATGTCTCCCACGTAATGAAGCCTTATTTACAAATGAACACATCACGCAACCCTTTGTGATAGTTGTATATTGAGGTTACAAATTGTTGTGTACCAAAAAACCTTCATTATGAATATACCACTGATAATAAGGCCTTCAGGGCACATGTTCTTTCCTAGCTTAGAAGCTGAGCTATTTCACTATCGGTCTAAAAGATTCGCGAGGAGCTACGTAAGTCAGCCATAACCTTAATACGCTCTTAGTGAGGAAATTTTTGTAAACCCACCATCGCGGCGAAGAAACAAAAGATTATGGGAGGTTCGTGTCGTCAAGTCATTGCTGGGGGGGGTTTAACTGCGATCAATACACAGTAATTATCTCCTTCATCGGTAAACACCGTAAACGGTTTAGAATTTTCCCCGCTTGTGTAACGAGCACAAAAATTTGCTATCTTGTCTTTCGTGACTAGCTCTCGATCAAACCTGCCTTGGTTAGTTGCCCAGACAAACGAGCACATGCTTTCAACATTTTCAAACTCAAAATCCTCCATCTTAATGTCAACACTTTTCACGATGTCAAATCCCGCGGCCGAACACATCTCTTCAATCTTTGTCTTCCTTTCGTAAAAACGTTTGTTTAGCATACGTTCCTTGCTTTCAGAGTTTTGAAGTTCACGATAAATTTTATCGTAGAAAGAAGGAAAGCGATCGCCGTAAGACAGCACAATTTTTCCCGCTGGTTTCAGGCTACAAAACATATTCTTGAAAGCTTCTTCTTTATCCTGAATCCAATGAAACACAAAGTTGCAGAAGACCAGGTTGTAAGTCTCTGAGCCCATTCCTGCGAAGTCTGCCGAGCTGCCTTCGCGAAATGCGAGATTTTTCACTTCGCTGTGTGATTCTCGAGCCACCTCTAGTCGATAAATGTCGGGATCAACGGCAACGACTCTTCCATCTTCTCCTACAAGCTCGGCCAGATACGCAGACAATTCTCCTGTACCGCAGCCTAATTCTAAGATCACATCTCCCCGATGTATCTCTATTTCATCGATCAGTTCTTTTCCTTTCCCTCTTTGAACAAGCGAGATTTGCTTGTAACTGTCTGCCACATGTTTGGAACTGGACATTATGGATATTGGCAATCAAGCCTCGAGGACTCAATTGGGCTGCGTCACCATTTGTAATTGATAATTCCCGAATTGCGCATTTGATTTGGGGTAGACAGGTCGTATAAGATTAATTCACCGCAGAATTGCCGAAGAACGTCGACTTCGAGTCGAATATGTACGTCCCCTTTGAGACATACCGCCCACTACAATTGGGTGGTTTTTTGACTTCACCCTGTAACACATTAAATTTTCCATTCACAAAATCGGAAATTGCTTGTTTAGCTGTAATCGTATGAATAAGCACGGGTAATTTCATCACAGTTAGGCCCTGTTTATACGTCGCACAATTGCCGAATTTAATTCTCTTAAGTCCCTAAGTTTAACTTGAGGACCAACTGACGATTAGATTCGACGAAAGTGCAACGAACAAATCGATCGAAACCCGTCCAAAACGGACAAAATTTTGACTATGCAAATGCAGTTTTGACGTCGCTTACATTATTATATTGTATCACAAATTGATAAATGTAAGGCGCATGCGCATATCCTCTCTCGCTTTACGTTCTCGCAGTTTTTCGAACTGTTGAAAGTTGACCCATCCCTGTAGAGACCAGCTTTTAAAACTTCTTTTTGTATGAGATGTAAAAGAATATCGAAATACTCCTGTATAGCTTGCGAGGAAAGCGAGTGCGTAGGCTTAGAGTATTCAATTGCAGAGGAAGATAGAGATGTTACAAGCTGCAAAGCGGGGCCAAGGGTTGTTCATTGCCTCAACTGCTCTGCTCCTGGGGCAACTCCAGAGAATATCTCCCAACAAGCCCAAGAAAAACTGAAAACAACCAGCCACGAGTAAAACAAGTCAAGGATAGTGAGAGTGTTACCTCAGAGGAAAATAAAAGAAAAAGGAAGGTAGGCAAAAAGCGACTTTGAATGAGGACCATTTCTGTAATTTTGTAGACGCTGTGGCGTTTAATCGATTAGGGACAGTGAGTCAGACGTGGCTTCTTACGGTCGATTTAAACACTTTTTTTCTTATGCTTAAAGGTGGATTAAGTTTGCATTCATGATATGCTTGCACTCATGCCATCACCACTGTCAACGATACAGTGACACCTGATTAAGCGCTCCCGAGTTTGATGAAAAGTCTGTTCATGAGCCAAGTGGCCTATAAGGCCGGCGCTTAACTCCGGTTACTGTAACATGAAGCGAAGGAGTATTTCTATTCCTCCCTGGATGGGAAGCCAGTTAATCAAAGGGTTACCCCCAGCATTAAATTCGCCGGTCCCCAAAAAAAGACTTTAACATTAATTAATGCAGAGTTATCATCAGGCTTGAATTCAATTTGTAATTTTAAGCGCATCAAAGATGAAAATATACAATTTATTTGCGCTCGAACTTTCGATGCCTCTGATAGGCTGATATTGTAATAACTTCGCTATGTCAAAACCCAGAAAAAGCCTGTTAAGCTTTTCAAGGGACAGACATAAATTACTTTGGTCGTGTGTTCACCATGATGGAAGACAATGAGGGAGTTCGGAAAAGATATATTAAAGTGAGTTTAGAGAGCCTTGCCTTCTCGTATTTCTAACTTCATCTCGTCAATTTGAACACCTAGAAGTTCAATTAGTATAACCATACTTCTTTCCAAAAACTCCTCCGGTAACTGGAGAATGCTAGGAATAAGACATCAAAAGTCAAAGATCGGGTTACATCGCAGCGTTATTCATCTGTCCCTTTGGGTTCACACCCAGTGTCAGATACGGGGTCTTTTACAACGTTTTCAAAAACGGGGTCTGAAAGAAAGTCGTCGAGAGAAAGAGATGTACACGTACTGTCGACGTCTTCAAACAACGGCAAACGATACGTTACGGCAGGTACATGTTCTGGCTCAGAAACGTCATAAATTTTGCTTGCAGTGTCGCTCTCTTGTGTTGTTAGCTCATCTGAACTTTTTTCTACATTCTCGGGATCAAGGTTTGAATGCAATGTGCTTTGTACACCTGTAGCTGTGGCATCGGGAGAGGCGCTGCTCAGTCGTGCTGTCTTCATATTGGCGATTTCTGATCTGAGTTGGGACAGTAAGCTTGTGGCTCTTTCACCCAAGTTTGAAACGTTCCCATGGAAAACAGAGTTGCTTTTAGGGGTCACATCTTCTCCTTCACCATCCGGATTTCTGCGATTAGACACTAGCAATGGCAAACTACCCTCTACTCTGCTCAAAGACTTCAGCCCATTTTCATGGAATTCTTCAAGCAAATCTCTCTCTTTATTGAAGGATGTGTCGTCTCTAATTTCATCATTACCTGTATCACATTCGGAAAGTTTCTGATCTGAATTCATCACTTGGAAAGAGCTTGAAAACTTCCAAGCTGAATCTGTGTAAGGATGGTTTTCAGCTGTGCCCTGCCTCTCCTTTTGCTTCCTCTTAACTTCTCTTTGGACATCCCTTGTGTCGCCTTCGTCACTACCTTCATCATCAGTTGGGACTGGACTACTCACAATTATTTCCGGTATGCTGGCTCGTAAACTCTTTCTTTCAGATGCTTCCCATTTCAGGTCCTTCTCCGTTAAATCAGATTCTTGAGAATCTGCAAGCGGGTGACGAACACGCGGAGCCGTATTCTCCCTCACTTGATCTGTTTCAACGCTAGGTTTCGAAGTTACTTTTTCAGAATGAGGTTCACTCTGGTCAAGAGAGGAAGAAGATCTCCTTTCACCAAGGAAATCTCCTTCATCGCGTGCAGCTTCACCATCACCTCTCTCCGTTTCAAGATCTGAAGGTCCTCGGAGTGCTTCGTCCGTATCGTTCTCACAATGTTTCGTTTCAGGAAAGGATGAGGACTTCTCTTCCATCCCCGGCAAGGCTGATGACACTCTGCTTTCCTCTTCAAAACCATTCGATGAATTATCGATGTTCATTCCAGATTCCTCTTGATCACACTCTGTTAGAGCTATTCCGAAAGCCTCATGGTCCAACTTGCCAAAAAATGGGGCTAAATTGCCCAATTTCGGATCAAATAGAAGCGAAGTGTCTGCGGACACAAATTTGCCTCCGGATTCCAGTTCAGCTGACACGAGTATGTTTTTATCGGAACTTTTCAGCTCTCCTTTTTCGTCGCGTTCCTCAACTAACGATCGTGGAGGGGAAGGGCCTAAGGTAGCATTGGAATGCTGAATAGGAGGCGAAAACGCAGGATCCTCGGCGAGATTTGCTTCTACGCTATTCTTTGATATGTCTAGTTGTCCTAATGTGTCGTAAAACTGATCCTGACCTTCTGAATCAGTCTGTTCAGCTTCCTGCTGCGATTCTTTGTCTTGGATTTTACCTGCAAGGAATGGGCAGTATTTGGTGAGATTTCTTATGGCAAGTGTAGTTCAACAGCTTCAAGCTTTGTGAACTTTACAGTGTAGCAGCACTCTCCAATTGTGTCGCTAACACCAATACCCGAACTAACAACAACAGCCAATCAGCGTCTAGATGAACGTCAGAAAGGATCACAGGTCACTGTATATAAACTGTGTTCAGCGCGGGAAAACGTAGGGGAACAAGTCGCGATTAGTTTTGGTTTTGCATCTGATTCGACGAGAAAGTGGCGAGAGTTTTCTGATCCAATGACAGAGCATTGTGCGTCGCAATCTTCATTAAATTTCGGTAAAATCATATTTTCAAATCACGCTTTGAAAATTTCAGCCTCCAGAAGTGAATATATATATCTTATTAACCAAGCGCGAGGGCCGTAC